AAGAATGGTAGGGTAGTTCCTATTCTTCCCTGAGGTAATACAGGGCTGGTAACCTTCATCTTCTCACTGTCCATAGGTAGATAAAATCCTTCTATACAGTATATTTCTCAATTGGTTTAAGACAGCTAAAGATTCTTTCTGTTGCTTATAGTTGTAAGTTCTTAATTCTTGTTTTCGGCTTCAGCTTGCTGGCCCAGAGGCCACAGGGGTGGGGGAAACGCGCTGAGCCCAGGAGGGCCCGCTCCGGTCCCACCGCTGGTCGCAGCCTTGGTGCGGGGCCCGGAGGGGTGCCTAAAGTTTCTTTTTGAAGTCCAAGATATTTGGAGCCCTTTCCATTTTCTTCCTTTTCTCCTTCTTACTCTCTTTCTATTTTCCTCCTTTCTTTTTCTCCTTCCTTTCTTCTTTCTTTCTCATAAGAAACAGAGATGAGAGTAAGCCAGAAAAGAGGCATTTAAATGTTTTCACAACAAAAAATGATACATGTTTAAGGTGATGGAAGTGCTAATTACCATGATTTGTCATTCAATGTATGCATGTATCATAAACATCACTCTGTACTTCATAGATCTGTACACTTATTATGTCAAGAAATAAAAAAGAAAAAATGTTAATTTAAAAAAAAAAACAGAGACTATGATATATACCTACATTTACATTTTGAAACTTATTTTTATATTTTTTAAGACACTTTTGCCTTAGGGCATGGACCTAAGGCAGAGAAAGAGAGGAACAGTGAGAGGGAAAGTGAGAAAATCATCCCCTGGGGGGACGGCCACACCGCAATCCCTTCTCCTCCATTGTCCTCCCAGGATCTTGGTAACGCACACACATGCACCCAGCATGATTTTCAAGCCACTGAGTCTGAGACTTGAACCATGGTGAGCCATGTGGGAATCCAGTGATATAACCGCTATGCCATCTGCTGGTCTCTTATTTTTTATTTAAATCCTTTTTATGACCTAAAATTCAGACACATGAAAGGATGATGGTTTCTCCACATGCCAGATTAAAAACTTAATAGTGAGGGGCCAGCAGGTGGCATGGTGACTGAAGCACTGGATTCCCATATGGCCTACCATGGTTCGAGTCCTGGACCTGGTGGCTTGCTTTCTCACTTTCCCTTTCTCTCTCTCTCTCTCTCTCTCTCTCTGTCTATGGTCAAATTTAAAAAAAATGATAACAAATGGAATTGAATAAATAAATAATTCTTTAAAAAAAAACTTAATAGTGAATGATCTTACTAACTGTTTTGTCCAAATTAATGCTCTTATGGACTGCTAATTTATCCAGTTGAAGAGTAACAGTGATTCCTTAAAATCTTTCCTTGTAATTGCATTTCTGCTAACTTCTCCTTATAGTTTTAAAAGTTTTCCCCTTACATGTGTTGAAGATATAGTATTTGTATCTACTATTTAAGGGATTGTACTTCTAAAATAAAAATATATTTCTTTCTCTAGTGTTTTTTGCCATCAACACTACTTTCTGTAGTTACCACCCTGTTTCATTTGCATAACTTATGTTTTCCCATCTTTTTAGTACTAGTTTTTCTGTTATTATTTAGTTTTGTCACAATAATTCCTGTTATTATACACAACATATTTTCGATATTGGCTATAACTTAACCTGAGAATTTTTCTCCCTTTGAATGGGTAAACAGTTCCACAGTCTACAAGTGATTCTCTTGTAGGCAGGCCTTTACATGCATTATTATACTTGATCTTGCTTTGTCATTTGATTTCACACTTCCTGATTTTTATAGTCCCTTCTTTATCCTTCTTTTACTTTATAAATGGTTTCATTGACTATTATCTTTGGTAATTTAGAAGATAAATAGGTTTTATTTCACACTATAAATAGCTAGCTTAAAGGTTTTTTTAACCTTTACTATTTTAGCTATAGACATTTTTAATATTTATTATATCAATTGATATTTTCTTGACATTTAGTAACATATATCTCTAATATAATTCATTTTTTACTTCCTTTTTACTTCCTGTTGTTCTCTTTTTATTGTTTTTCTTTTATTGATTTCTAGTTTCATGCCATTGTGGTCAGAAAAGATATTTGACATAATTTTAATCTTCTTAAATTTGTCAAAACTTATTTTGTGGCCTAATATAGACCCTGTTCCAGAGACTGTTCTAAGCGTGCTAAAAAGAATGTGTTTTCTGTTGATACTAGATAGAACATTCTGTACATATCCATTACGTGCATTTGGTCTACGTATGGTTCAAGTTCAATGTTCTCTCATTGGTTTTCTATCTGTATGATTTACCCAGTGTTGAAAGTGGGCTATTGAGGACCCCTGCTATTTTCATATTGTTATCTATCTCTCCTCTCAGATCTACTAATATTTGTTTTATGTTTCACATGCTCTGATGTTGGGTGCATATTTATTTACAACTGTTATATCCTCTTGATGGGTGGACCCTTTATCATTAAATAATATAATGCTCTTCTTTGTCTCTTTTTATGTTTTTGACTTACTGTCCTTTTTTTCTGATATAAATATAGCTATCCCTGCTCTCTTTTGATTTCCATTGTCATGAGATGCCTTTTTCCATTCCTTCATTTTCAATGTGTGTCTGTCTAAAGCTAAATTGAGTATCTTGTAGGCAGCCTGCAGTTCTGGCCATTAAGTCACTTTATATCTTTCGATTAAAAGAATTTATCCCAATTACATTCCAAGTAATCATTGATAGGTAATTATTGATACTCACTGCTGCTGTCTGTCAATTGTTTTCTAGTTGGTTTATAAAACTGTTGTTCCTTCCTCCCTCTCTTGGTATCTGTGATTTGATTATTTTCTGTAGTAGTGTATTTTGACCCTTTTCTCTTTATTTTTTGTTTATATGCCATGTGCTTTTGCTTTATAGTCATTGTGAGGCTTACCTAACATATCTAACAGTTGTAACGGTCTTTTATCGCTTATTCCACCATCTTGCCAACATCCCTTCCCTTGATGTTAATCTGGATTACCTCGGTTGAGATAATGTGTGTAAGGTTTCACCCTTTCCCATACTGTGGTCTTGGAAAGAAGTTGCTATGTGCAGGCCATGCTTAAAGAATTAGGAGTTATACTCCCCTTCCTTGAGGGCACCTACATAAGTTCTTTGTAATTCTTCTGTACTGAGGTTTGTCTCTCCTCTACCACTTATTTACTTTTTCAATCATTTATATAAGTATGAATTCATGGATATTTATTTTGTGCTGAAAATATAATACCTTTAGTTTAAATTATTTATTTTGCTAAAGATTTTTCATCATTGGTCATTGAGATCTCTTTCAAGTGACTCCAGTATCTCTTTGCCGTACCCCATTATGACACACCCCATACATTACTCCGGTTTGGGGGTTGGTTTTGTTTTTATTTTATTTTATCATTTTACTTAACACTCTTTTATTCTTATTTGTTTTTATTTTTTATTTTGTTAATATTGGATGCTATGTTGTGCTGTGTTTTGAGCACTGTCTTACTTTGTGGTACTACAAGAGGCTTCATGCTCATCTTCAGGCTCATGGCTCCTCCATTTCCTCCTATCTACAATCAGCCATTTCTACAAAAAGCATAAGTTTCTTTTATTGGAGAATGGCATTAGAAACCAAAAAAAAAAATTAAAAGTAACAGAGGAATGGAAAGTTATTGTGTACGGTACTATCTTTTACTTGTCTGACAGGTAATGCATCTATGCTTTGAGAACTCATATCACATGCTGTAAAGATGAACAATATTCAAATGTGACTATATATGTATGTGTTTGTGTGTGTGTGTGTATATATAGCTTGAGACAGTGTGTGTAAGGTTTATACAAATGTATTATATATATACTTATATACTTTTTTAAAAAAAGAAAAAAGAAACTAGGATCTGGACACTAAATATATTACTGTTATTTTTAAAGGACTTCATACATTTTTTAGAATGCTCTCAGTTTTCATTTCTAATGTAGTAATATTAATAGATAAAACATACATGAGCAAAAATTCTTTGGGGTTCTCAATAATTTGTATTAATGGAAAGAAATTCTGAGACCCAAGATGCTGAAAATAACTGATATATTAATAGATCTGCTTTCTTAAAAATGTTTTTCATTTAATTTTATAATTTTGACATACAAACTATTGTCATCTCTATACACT